AAAGTGAAGTCTTCGAGGACACAGAATTTCTGGGTAACTGCAACTGCTTCATGGATTAAATTGAGTTAATAAAAATTAAAGAGCTTCCATCACACACACACACACACACACACACACACACACACAATCTGTATAACCCATGTGCAAGAGGCCCCATACCTAAGCACATTACGAAGTCACTGCCTTGTAAGAATTAGTGAACTGCAATTTGAAGTGTTATCTCTGCTCAATCCATTTGGAGGCATATGTGGTATAGAGAGAGCCATGACAAATGGAAATGTTCAAAGACATGACCCCAGACATTTACTGAGGAGTACAAGCCACAACAAGTGTACAATTTGGAGTGGTTAATTAAATGACTATTCCCAAACATGGCAGTTAAGGGCAGCTTTGAGGGTCACTCTCCTCTACATTCTCATTAATTCTAGGAGTCTAACTTTCCCCTAATTGTATTTTTCTTTTTTGCTTTTAATGTGTACATTTAAAAAATAGAACTCCACAGATAAATCTATTTTCAGAATAAAAGAGAAACTGGTCTATATTACTTTGGGGGTTGACAAAAAATATCCTAAGATTGGATTAGAGCAGTGGTTATTTAACTCTGTTAATATACTATAAGGCATTGAATTGTAACTCTAAACAAGTGAGGTTTACGGTATGTAAGTTATATCTCAATAAAGCCACTCTTTAAAAAAAAATAAGTTACTAGAGTAGAAAAAAAATCACTGAAAGATTTCCACCACTTTAAGAACACAAGGCAGAGTGTCTCTGCAGAGAGCTGGGTGTGCCTGTGCACGTAAGGGCTATGTGATGCTGTGGCTGGGACGTGAGTGGTTTGCTCAGATGGCATTTACAGAGGTGCCACATGAAGGTTTAAGTGGGCCATCCATTGCCATAGGCAAGGGGGTGCTGGGAGTAGCTCTGCAGATCTGGTGGCAAAATGAAAGAAAGGCATTTGTTCCATTGGGAAAGATGCAGGAGCTGTTCTCCACGGAGAGCCTGATGCAGAGAACAAATGTCCCCGGGAGGCAGCGAGGCAGAGCACGTGTTCCTGGCAGGGAAGGGAGGAACAGGAGCCCTTCTTCACTCACCTTCCGGGTCATCCTTTCCAAGGCTCCTAGCACTTTGGATGGGCACGCGCTTCCTAGGCTCCCTCAACCTGCTTGGTGTACAATTCTCTTAATTAATTTCAAGGGGATCCATCATTGTAGGTATGTTAGGTGGGTTCAAAGAAAGCGTGTGTGTTCCCTTCATGTGTGCAGGCATCTTGAGACTCCCCTTCTGCCTTGGGACTGTGGGACTGTCGCTGGAGTTCTGGGGCTTGACAAATTGGCAGAGACATGAAAATTCTGAAACTATTTTTAGAAAATTCTTACAATGATGAAGGGAGCAAGCGAGGAGCCTCAGCGCTCCATTCCCTCCTGTGCAGGACCTTACTGACCTCATGCTCCCCTTCCACGAGTGGCGTGTCTACTCTGGCTACAGTCAGCATTGGCCCTATAGAGACAGATGTCAACAACACTGTTCTTGGCATCAAAGGCTTTATAACCCATGGGAATGGTGTTACCGCTGTTGACCGGTGACGAGTTCTTGCTTCCCCAATGTTGAAGAATAACACCAAAGAAGCACGCCGAGGCAAGGTCAGAGTAGAAATTAGAAGTTTATTAAAGGACAGCAGAAAAGACTTCTCCCGGAGGAAGAAGGGGACCCAAGAGGTGGAATCCGTGGAAGTGCGGTTGTTTCCCCTTTTTATAGTTTTGGTGATGGAATGTAGGTTGGAAGGCCCGAGGGGTGGGACACAGGTGGGCCAAAGAAGTAATCTGGTCAGGAAGGACTTGAGTCAGCACCTTTTTGCTGGGGGCTGTTCATTAACATTTCTTTGAGGTGGACTTTGGCCTAGGGCCTTTTCGGGACTTCCATGAGTTGTCCTGTGTTTTCCCTGAGTCATTCTCCGCATGGTCTCCATTTTAGATTTCACTCGATATTAGACCCGATTTATCTAACTACACTGACTACCTAACTTTAAATCTGGCTTCATTGGCATCAGACAGTCCCCAAAGACTTCAACACAAACCCTCCCACCAGAGAGGTACAAATGAAGTGCTGGCTCTCAGAAGTTGAGGGAAGCACCAGCCACTGGAAGGGCCATGAAAGGCTTCTGAGCAAGTGGCACTAGAGACACATAATATTTCCAGGTGGAGGTGATGGGGTGACCTGAGTGAAGAACTGGTGTGATCACATCTGGGCACAGGAAATAAAGAGCAAGTGACCTTTTAGGATGGAGGATAAGGAATTCACAGGAAGTGGGTCTGGACAGGCATACAAGGACTATACCTGCCTCCTGAATTCCACAGGTTGTGGATGAGCCTCTGGGGCCCAAAGGCTAATAATCAAGACTTCTCTGTTGAAGATTTCCACTGCCCAGAGTTAGAGAGGGACATCTAAATTCCCTCTCAGGTTTCAATTCAATGCACTGCAACATGTCAGTGCAGAGCTGGTACTCTACTGGGGGTGGGGATGAAATAAAGTCTCAGTTTGCATCTTTAAGAACCTTGTGGATTGCAGACAGGGGAGAGAGATGCAAAGAGCTCAGACACTTACACTCACAGTACATCCCACGAGTATTGAAAGGAGAATCACATAAGTCTTGACAAAGTGCTCTGATCTTCCAAGTGGGGGTTCTACCTAACCTGTGAATTTTCAAGAACAGGGATTAGGCCTTCTTTATCTATGCGTGGCCTGGGTCTAGCTCAGTGCCTGACACTTGGTAGACATTCATTAAATAAATAAATTAATGAATAAATGATTGAACACTTCTCCTACCAAGCATTATCTGCCCAGGATGTCTGTTATAAGTTCACATGGCACAGCCTAACTTTGGTTCATATTGTTCCTCTTCTCCTACCCATACTTTGCTCACCTCAATTCTCCTTCCCTCACAATATCCAGCCCACACTGTCTGCCTGGACTCTGAGTCTTTCAGTAATGACAGTCTGTGCTGCATAATTTAAGTATCCTGTATTCCTCGCAGTTGCTTGCTGTGTGCTAGTCATGCAGCCTCCCTTCTAAAGTGATTGCATCACTCATGACACTTAAAATATATTATCTGCTATGCTGTCACTGGAGTAGTGGGCAGACACTGATGTCATGGAGTGTTGGACATGGTGCTGGCGCTGCACACACAGTCACAAAAGGCCTGGGTAATGTATTCTGGCAAAAAGAAATCTGGAAGACAGAACAATTTTGCTGTCTGAAAGCTTTTGACACAGAGGCCCTGAACTCAGGGCTCTATATATCTAAGGACAGAAGAGGAGAAATTATCTGTCTTGCAGCACGTGGAATGGATGGATGTGAAATTAAGCACTGGAATGAGTTGCTGCCAGAAGCCATGAGCCCTCCCTCTCTGAAAAATCCTTAAACACAGAGGGGACCATTTGTCCAGGAAACCGAGACTGCAGGATGAGCTGACCTTCTCCTGAGTAGTGACAGGTGGAGTGTCTACCCTCACGGTCCTTGCCAGAGTTGCACAGAAGAAAGGACACTTTTGGGTAAAGTGTCTTAGAGAACTGTTGGTTTACCCTTTTGCTTTATGATTTTCTTATGCAGTTGAACAAGGTTCAGGGAGATTAGCTGACTGCAGACAGAACTATGTTCCTGGGTAGAGAAATAAGGTAGATTCTCATTACCACCCAGCTCATTTTCTCAAGAATTATATATTCCATGGTCAGATAATGACCCTCAAACTTTTCAATACATCCTGTAAAAGGCAGATACAACGCCTTCTGCATTAGACAGTATGTTCCTTGCAGTGATTAATTCTTCCTCCCTAGCCAAATTATCCAGGTGGGTGTCAAATCCAATTATTTATCTAGGATCTCCTGATAGAAAGTGCTCAATACACACCTGAATTACAACTAACTTTACACAATGATTTGCAAGTACTTCTCCCCACGTTTCCTAATTTAATACAACAACCCTGAAAAGCAGGTACTATGATTAACTCCCATTTTCCAAATAAGGAAATTAATGTTCAGACAGATTAAGAGGCACATTCAATATACAGCCAACAAAGGAGAGTTCTTTCCAATACAATTTGCTCCTTGAATGAACTGTTGTGGGGGTGGTGAGGGGAGGGGTAGTCAGCTCAGTCTTTCCTCCCTGAAAAAAGTAGCAGCTCAGTACCTTCCCTCCAGACACATAAGCACTATTCCATGGAGCAACGTATACCGTCCTACATCAGAGTCAGGCACACTAAATGCAAGATACATTGAATGAATGATACAGTCGATGTGCTGCATGAAGTCAGCGGAAAGCATATACCATAAGGGGAGGAAGACTCTTCCCTTCATTAATCCAGGACCTCTGGTTGCAGAGCATGTGGGTCCAAGACGCCACCGACATGCCCTCATGAGGATTACAGTCCATTGCAAGGTACACGTGTAAAACAACTAATTTTACAGCAAACGATTCACAATTCGGTTAAATACCACTCAAAGTGTGTAGCAGGGAACTCTGCACTGGTCGGAAGAAAAAGCGATTTGTGCTCAGTGTGATGAGGCTGGCTTCTTTCCATCAAAGGAGGCTACCTTTAGATGAGCAGAACCTCCAAGCACAAGGAAAGACAAATTAAAAGGGCCAAAAGGAGAAAGGAGACTGCTTCCCATAAACAGAACTTCATCATGGGACTGCAACTCTCCAGTCCCATTGCCTGGTTGCCCACCTGCAGAAGAGCAGGAAAGAAAAAGCGAAGACCAGAGAGCGGGAGGCCAGTTTGTGTAGGCGGGGCGGGGAGGAAAGCCCAGACGAGATCCGGGACCGAGAGAGTTAAGCGGGACCCGCCCGGAACCGAAGGGGTTACGCGGGGCGGTCCGGAGCTCGTCCGGCAGGCCCCGCCCACCGGGGGCGGGGGCGGGGCCGCGCAGAGGGCACCGCGGGATTGGCGGCGGGGAAGGCGTTACGCTGGGACCGTACCAAGAGTCGGGGCCGCGGAGGCGGGGGGTGGGTGTGGGACCGCCGGCTCGGGCGCGGAGAGGTGGCCAGGGAATGGCCGGGCCGGAGGTGGGCGGGAGCCGCAGTGGCGGCGGCGGCTGGGGGCGGTGAGAGCGGCGTGGGGCTGCCCCTCCCCGGAGGCGGCGGGGGCGGCCGGGGCCGCGCCGCACCGCACCGCGCGGGCGGCCATGGAGCGAGCCTAGGGCCCGACAGGTGAGCGGCGCAGGGGCGGAGAGGGCGCGCGACCCCCGCCCGGCGCGGCGCGGCGGGAAAGTGCGGGCCGGCGGAGGGCGGGGCGCGGTGCGTGGCGCGCGCCGGGGGCGGGGCGCCTCCCTGCGGGGCCGGGCGCGGGTGCCTCCGGGGTCCCGGGGCGCCTCGGGCGGGTCCCGGGTTGGGGGCCACGGTGGCCGCCGCTCGGAGGCAGGCAGGACCGTGCTTCCCTGCGGGCGGTCGCTGCTGAGGGGACGCGGCCTCGGCCGCCGCCTCCTGGCCCGCTTGAGGCGCGAGCCTTACCTGGGGCCGCCCGGGGTCCTTCTGGTGACACGCTCTCGCGCCCGAGCGCGGTCCCCAGAGGCGACTGGCCCGGCTGCCGCCTCGTGTAGTGCCGAGCGCCCGTTGCGGCAGCCCTGGAGCAGGGCGCGCTCGCTGGGATCCTACCGGGCCCGCCGCGTGGCCGAGCGGCGCGGGTGACCTGCAGGCCCGAGGCGAGGCAGCCGTGCCCGGGGCCCGCGGTCTCCTCGGGGTCGTGCGCGCGGCGCTGGCGACGGGCACAACTTAAGGAAATGATACGGTAGTCCCCAGTGGGTTGTGCTGGAGATTTCATTTCCGGGCGTGACGGCCCCCGATTACGGGCTAACCGAAAGGTTGCCATTAATGCTGAACGAGAACCGTGGTCAAGCCGTGTCCTTGGTTGTGGAGAGTGATAAGACATTGGTTTTAATCAGATTTTTGTTATCTGCCAGTCTTCGTATAGGAAGAGGAGTAGAGGGTACTGGAGAAAAAGTGGAGGGCACGGGCCACGGATGGTCATTATGGAATTAGCCGTTTTAAAGGCCACATCACCATTGGGATGGGTAAGGAGTTTATAATTTGGGAGTAGGGGAGGTGCTTGATACTGTCACTTGGATCTAAGGCCAGGTGTCAGTGCCATCCTTACCCGGTTTCCCTCTGGAGGTTTGATTTCTCACCTTGGAGGGTAGTGACATAGTAGCAATGATGTGGAATCTTTTCGCAATTAAACACTAGGACTTTATAAATCTGTGATGAGGTAAAGTTAATATTGCCATTTATTAACCCTGCCTATCATCCTTGTAATGTAAAGTCGTGCATCAATTTTACTGTGCTTGTTTTTTTTTTTTAAATTGGGCTAACGACCTCATTGTGCTTATGTGTTACATTCCTTGAATTTATGCAGCACCTTTGAGCTTAGCTTAGAGCGCTTCCACATATATTATTTATCAACCAGACATGACATTGAGAACTGGTACAGGTGTTAAAGATACTAAATTAGTTGCCTAGACTCAACCAATCTGAGGTAGATTTAAAATTAAATTATTGGGCTAGAGCTATAACTCAAGTAGAGCCCTTGTCCAGCACACATATGGCCTTGGATTTGATCTCCAGCACTGGGGGTCGGGGGTGGGGAAGCTGGATTAATAACTTAAAAATTTGTGAAGATGTTGATCTTTGGCTCCCAGAACCATACAATAGAATCAGTTAACAGGAGGTCTTCCACATTTGAAATTGCTTGTCAAAAGAATAACAACAAGGCACTGCAAGTAATTCAGACTCATCCCCCTCATTCATGACAAAATACAGTGACAAAAAAGGACGGAGGTGAAAGATGATCAAGAACTTTGGGAGTTCATCACATTTCTGATGAAGATGTGAGGTTGATTTGCTTTGTTTCTTTAGAAATAGTAATAGGTGCATTTTGTTGAAAGAATAAAAACTCATGCCCCTCTTTTCTTTCTGGGTGCTTTGGATTAGGAAACAAGTCAGTTTCATCTTTATTATAATTCTTTGTGTCATAGAATTATTTTATGCTAAATTGATAATTCCTTCACTTTTAGTCAGTTCTCTTGGTTTTCATTTTTAGATTTTCTTTCACACAGCCTTAAAGCTTGTGTTTTTTTCTCTTTTGACTATTGAGTTCCTAAATGAAATTTTCTTTGTTTCCTTTACTCTCAGGACAGACTTCAGCTTCCTGTGCTTTGTGTGACTATCATTTCAGTGGTGTAAACCTTGAATCCAGATACTTCATTTCTTAAATTGACAACTTTTTAAAATAGCTAACCACAGTAGTCCCCTCTTGGTGATTGCTATATTCTGATACTAGAGGGAGGAGGCTTCTGTTTGCATTTTGTGTGCACATTTGCAGAGGAGAAAAGGGAGACTGTCTTGTAAACCTAGACTGAATGCCAGGTAGTTTTGTGAATTGGGGTGGGGAGCACAGTTATACTGAGGCCCTACAGTTTGTTATAACAGGCAGATAGCAGTGCTTAGTACATAATAGGTGTACAAGAAATATCTGTTGAATGACTGAATTGAAAATTGTTTGAGGGAAGAAGAAATAGCCTAATATAGATGCCAAATTGTTTAGTTCCTCTTTTTATGAAGAGAAAAAAAGTCAAGAAAAATGTGTTTCAGATTTCCTGTTAGAAATATGCTGTGGAGGTACGTATCTGTGAAGGGTGTTATTTGCTGGAGCTGTCTTGAAGCTCGGTCCTTATAGTGTTCTAGCTAGTTGCAGCCTATACAGGTTTCAGTCAAGTACATCTTCACAGACTTGCTCCTCCAGCCTGTGATGGCTAGGGTGACTAACTGAGCAGTTAGATGAGTAGTCAGTGTTTTTGCATTACTGAAAGAGTTTAGAACCACTTGTGGTGGTGCATGCCTATAATCCCAGTGGCTCAGGAGGCTGGGGTAGGAGGATCACAAGTTTGAGGCCAGCCTCAGCAACTTAGTGAGACTCTGTCTCAAAATTTAAAAAGGTGGGGTGCGCTGGGGAAGTGGCTCAGTGGTTAGGTGCCCTTGGGTTCAATCCACAGTACCAAAAACAAACAAACAAACAAAAGCCTTAGAGTTCTTGATAATGACCATGTTAGCAGCATTGACTGATGACATTCTCTCATGCCCTATGTTGGGCAACTCCTCCTTCCACACCTGTTCACTCTCCCTCTTTGCCTTCGTTTAGCTGCCTCCATAATTCCTAAAGCCTAATGCATGTATTAGTGTGGGCTTGGGGTACAGAACAGAAGGCCTTACTTTACTGCTGAAACCAGCTTCTGACCAACTTAAAATATCAGCATGACAGAATGTTTAACATAGAGATGCCTAGAAGAGAATGTAATGTAAAGGTCTTGCTTCTGATTTGGTCTTTCTTACCAAAAACAAATGAAGAAATGCCTATCTGTGGACCTAAAACATGTTGGGGTGCATCTGCTATCCCAGTATGATATAAGAAATGGAGACTGATAAAGAAAGGAGACATTGTGCTTTGGTTTGTGTTTGATTTCAGTACTTTGTGGCAAGGAAATAGCCCCTTTGAGAAGAGTGTGCTAATTTGAGTACATTATAAAAGGAGGTCAAGGATATAAAATTATAAATGTGTCAAGAGGATAGAATCATGTATAGGGTGAGGTAGTAAAATCTGTCATTTCATGCTCTGGACTCTTGATGTTCTGCTCTGGTGTGGCAATACCTTGTTTGCCAAATGTTGTCGGAAAATAAGGTATTGTATTCAAAAATTCTTATTTTAGCCATATTTTTTATGGAAAACTTCTTACACTGTATTATATATTTTGCTTCTTTTTAAACAACATAGTTTAACCTTTTTTATTATCTCAAGGTTATGATTACTAGCATACATCACTGACAGTAATTAAGCAAGGCTTTGGGGTGATTGAGAAATGTACGTGTTTGGCCCCTCTGCTTTTTGAATTATTTAATCTGCTTTAAATTAGTCAGCTTGTCCTTTCCTTCGGGGGCAGGAAAGCTTGTGTACAACTTCTAATCTTCTGGGGAGTAGAAACCCAGATCATGCTGCTTCCAGAGATTGAATGTAAAGCAGCTACATGAGGTTCTAGCAGCTCTTCTGAGTATTAGTACTTGAACTTGATAACCATGATTTGGCAGCAAAAAGACCTTTTTTATTCATTTCTTATTTGGCTCAGTGAATTTGCACCTTGTATAGATGCGTATGTTTGTGTACTTCTTCCTGTCTTAAAAAGTATATAGTATGAAAGCAGTAGTTTTTCAGGCAGTGATACTTGAAGATACGGTTTCAGTCCTGTGTTGTATCATTCTTGGGCAGTGTCTTCTCTAGCAGTCTCCATTCTTCCTCTTAGCATTCCCAGATCTTTACTCTTAATCCAGGCTATCATCAGGAACCAGATTAGTAATAGCAGTAGCCTAGAAAGGTGGGATCAGGGTATACAGAAGACAGCAACTTCAGTAATTTAAAAATCAGTGTATAAAATTGGTAAATGTATTAAATACTTCTCTATTTTTACTGTACTATCTGAATTCTTTCTAGGGCTTTTTTTTTTTTTTTTTTAAAGAGAGAGAGAGAATTTTAATATTTAATTTTTTTTTTTTAGTTTTCGGCGGACACAACATCTTTGTTTGTGTGTGGTGCTGAGGATCGAACCCGGGCCGCACGCATGCCAGGCGAGCGCGCTACCGCTTGAGCCACATCCTCAGCCCTCCAGGGCTTATTTCCCTATATCTGTAAAAGTTCATCTTTACACCCCAGTGTTGCTTGTTCAGAAGAAATGCTTATAACCATAGAAGTTGCTCTTCCTTGCTCTTCACTTTTCTTAATTCAACAGACATTTATCAAGTGACACTCACATGCCCTGCACTGTGCTAAGCTCTTGAAAATATAAAGAGAGAGTAAAATATATTTCCTGTTCTCAAGGGACTCACAATATACTAGAGAGACAAGTATGCCAAAAAGTGTAGGTGTGCTGTGTATTCTAACAAAGAGATCATTCCTGAAAGCACCCAGCTATCACTTCAGTACAGGCCTCTTTGAGATTCAGATATTTCTGAAAGTGTTTTCCCGTGGACTCTCACTTTGCCATACCCTAGAATATAAGGTTAAACATTGAAGTGCTAGCTGGACACAATGGCACACCTATAGTCCCAGGCAGCAGGGTTGCTTGAGCCCATGGGTTCAAGGCCATCCTGGGCAGCATAGCAAGACCTTA